AGGGGGCCGGCGGGGCGGGGGCAGGAGACAGGCAGTACCATACTGCCTGGGGGAGAGGTACCAGCTTTTAAGCCAGCTCCCCCCAGCACTGGCTCCTGCTTCCCTGTTTGCTGCCTACGATACAGCAGCAGCAAGGTGGGGAATGCGAGTAGTTGACTAGATTAACCAATAAGCCTAGGCATATCAGTTAATCTTCTAGTTAACTACTCATTCACATCCTACTCCAAGATGCCATAATAAAACCAGTGTTCTCTGTAAGCTGAGTGCTTGTGCTGGCCCCCAGGAAAGATTAAATGCCATCTAGCTGTTTAGCAGAGTGCCCACTGTGCCCAGAACCAGAAATATGTGTTTCTACTGGTGGTGCACAACTGCACATGCCTTGGTACACATGACAAAATTTATTCCACACACGGAAGGAAAAGATTAAAGGGAACACTACAGTTCTGTTGGCAATAAACACACATTTATGTGGAGGGTATTTCCCTGTAGCTGTATTTTCTCCAAGAGATGAAAAAGCCAGTTTTTTTTCAAGAATATAGGGGAAATAGGTATATACAACGGAGAGGAAAGGAAACCCAGGAACAGTTATTGCAGCCCTACCTCTGCCCATTGCCCGCCTGCCTCCATTCCTACACTCTCCCTAAATCCTTCCCTCGTCCTCCTGCTCGTTGTCACTCCGTCCATCCATTCTCCTCTCATACCCCTCTGGATCATTCCTCCCCCTTCCCACGCACCATGCCACCCTACTCTTTCCTTTCCCCCCGCCCTCTGATAATCTGACCCTGTCGCTGTCGCGTGACGTAATCTGGCTCTGCGACCCCGGAAGTGTTTGCTCCTCGTAGCGCACCTTCCCTCGTCCTCCTGCTCGTTGTCACTCCGTCCATCCATTCTCCTCTCATACCCCTCTGGATCATTCCTCCCCCTTCCCACGCACCATGCCACCCTACTCTTTCCTTTCCCCCCGCCCTCTGATAATCTGACCCTGTCGCTGTCGCGTGACGTAATCTGGCTCTGCGACCCCGGAAGTGTTTGCTCCTCGTAGCGCACGTGGGTAGCGGCCAGGCTGGCAG